TCGTCCGCACATCCGTGATCCTAACGTTAATATTTTCTCCAAAAAGGCACCCTAACATTTGATGACACCATACCATACTTTGCAACACTGACAATATGTAACATGAACATTATTAAAAGGCAAATACTCTTTACATCCTACAAGTCAAATCGACAATTTTCATCACCATCTTTAAACAAATATTTCCATTAAGAAATGTTCCCAAAATTATATTACTTACTATCCTATCATACAAGTAATGTTTTTATATGCTAAAAAAAATTCAATAACCCAACAAAAACAACTAAAAAAAGATACAAATGTTTTAATTCAAAATTTGCCAAATTTCCCCCTAAATCAAACGAGGGAGCATTGAAAGAAGTATTACTAGAACATGCAATAAAAGCTAATACCCAATCCCATACTCAATAGAAAATATCACATGCAACATACAAATATAATCATACTATCATATATCACAAGATAACCCATCCAAACAATCATCACATCATAAATAATATTTACTCCCTTAACAAAACCTCATTGTGCAAAGGCATTACACTACCAATAAAGTACATAAATCTCTGACAACAGAAACACAGCAATCAATGCCATGCACGATCAATACATATCCAAACAAACCATACAATAAAACCCCACATATTAATTAAAGAACATAATCTCCCCACTCCCCTAACTCCCATCCACATCCCCATAAACATAACCACCCTTCTCCCTCATCTGCTCATTATCTGAATTATTACTCCATTGAAGAGAAGAATGGTAGGGAAGCAGAACCTGTTGATGTCCAGCATGTGCTGAAGGATGGCAGTAGCTACATGCATACTTCAACAGGTTGGCATTTGCTGCATCAAGCTCCTTCTGAAGAAGCTGCACTTGTTGCTGGAGGACGGAGATGGCACCAACACAGCCGTATACAGGGTCCTTCATGCGTGCATCAGCTTCATAAGCAAGTGAGTTCACTGCATCTTCTCTTTGGTGGGGAAGAAGCTCGTTGAGGAGCTTGGTTACATTGCTGGCTCCGAAGATTTTGTGAACGTTGAAGAACTTTTGAGGTTCTTCTGGTGGGAAGTAAGGGGCGAAGATGCAACCTTGCATGCATTTTCTCCTCAGGAACTTGCATGCAGCGCAGGGAGAGTTTGATGAAGCGGATGATGAGGAGTATGATGACATGGCTGCTTGTGTATAACAATCACTCTCTAGTTCTGCTGATCAAAAGACTTGGGTTGAATTTTTAGCAAAAAGTAAAAAAAAAAA